TTTATTTTTAGTATAGTTTCTATAGATATTTGTGACTTATGTAAGCTATTAAAAATGAATAAATTGTAAAAATAAAGAATTGAAAAACAAATCATAATAAAATAGTTTTATTATTACAACTCTTTTTATACACAACGTTGCTCCACACTAGGACTTTTTACCGTGTCGTGGGTGCGTTTACAAACATACAATTACACATACACATGACACCCAGACCCACAAAAAGTGTTTGAAAGGTTCCCCTCGGTTTCCATGGATTCCATCATCAGATCCTGACCTGGTAGAAATAAGACCAACCTGAGAGTATGACCTTACTAACAAAAAAAGGATCATCAAAATCTGTCCACAAACGCCGAGTAATCGGGTAAAAAGCACACAAAAAAATCATACAACCGAATTGATAACCTCCTCCTTTTAGGGAAGTCAGTTTAAAATGAAGTCGGTCATTATTTTTTAAACTAGCTGTTCCTCGCGACTTCGTCTCAAACTATCGTTGCGTCGTTGTACCGAATTCCACTCAAATAATTTCAATGGTTTAAAAAATAGAGTGACCCAGAAGATTAACGCAGTTCCTGTCCTGTGGGATTTCCGGGATAGAACAAGCATACGTTCTTTCCAGTGCCAATGTCTCACTCTCGTTGAACCGAATTACAATCAAATAGGTTAATAATATTAGTATTCAGCCTCTTTGCATACCTTAATGTTATATCGTGGCAATAAAAAAATAAAAAAAATAAATTGTCAATCATCCATTGCCATGAAACTTACTTGTCAAAAATATGTCAGATAATATAGAAATGTGTACTTAATATTATAAATTTGTGTCTGTTTGTTTGTTAGAAATTGGCGTGATTTTTTTATTGAGTGTAGATAACAGGGGGTCGAGGTTTGTGTGGAGAATTTCATAATTTTCAAGAAACCTAAAATGGTATTACATTTGTGACCAGTAAAACATCGGGCACCAAATATATTTTATCTTTTATAATCCTGCTCTCAATACTTTAAAAGAGCGCAAGCGAAACCACGGGCAGAAGCTAGTCCATAAATAAATTAATGTATTTAGTTAATTCAATTTATACTTTTTCCTTAAAATTCTTGATTCAGATGCAGCTAAATACTATTATTAGTCCTTGAAAACAGTTTTTATTGGTAGTCAAAGGCTTAAGCAATATTCTTCCGAATCCTTTTTTAAGATTTTAATTGTGCCGTGTTCTAATGCTGCTTACTGCTACAGCATTATATTGCTGGCACACAGCATCCCAAGCATCTCTGTTTTTTCGTATTATATGGGCGCTGGTCGTTTTGTTTTCAATAATATCTGCAAATATAGCAATAAGCCATCAGCAATAGATCAGATTACCGTTATATTATATAAGTATTAAGTTTCATTGTATACTTACTTCTTGATCAGCTCTAAAAGAATATATTTTTCGGCGGTCGTATAATTGAATCCACATTTCAGTTTTTTCTTCCATAGTTATCAAATAAAATTAAAATTTTAGTAACGCATATAATTGAAATATCGCGCTTTGATTCGTTGTTGTCAATAATGTCAATTGACTTAAACGTTTCACTACACGACAATCTAGTCGTATAATGTTCCATTTTCATATTATAATTGTGTGTAGGTAGGTACTTAAAAATATTTTTGTTATGATATACATTAAAAAAAATGAACAAGACTGTGAATTCATAAAATTTTAGTACATAAATTATCATCGGATTTAGCTATTTCATCAAATCATGCTGCGTTAAACGAATACGTAATGTAAAAATATTATTTTGTAATCGAGAACATGCTTTTTGTACAGAATGTTGCCATAGAGCAAACATTTAACGGCTGCTTACCTAAGTACACCTTAATACAAATTGATGGACGTTTCAGTACACCAGTTATATTTGAGGCGTGCTTAAATTTGAGTAGCGATTAACTGAGGGCTATATTTAACAAAGATTTCAGTATTCGGGCATTAGAGTCTATATCAATTGATAAAAATGGATTTTAGACTTTATGTAGTTGTAATTGTAATAACATTGCACGATGTTTTTATAATAACTATCGTGAGACACACTAAATCAAGTAAAAACGCGGGTTACTCACGTGAATATACTGAGAAAAGCTCTACTAGTTAGGGTTCTTCCTCATGAGCAGCGTGCGCGGTCTCTAAAAGCTCTACTAGTTTCGAACCTCTGTGGTTCGAAACTAGTAGAGCTTTTCTCAGTATATTCACGTGAGTAACCCGCGTTTTTACTTAACATTGCACGATACTTTACAATCACTTTACAATTATTTTTATTTTAATTTATTTTAATTACGAATTGTTACAACAAAAAATGATTACGAAAACTAAATATAGCTAGGGAAAAATTATACATAGTAACATTTCTGAAAAATTCATGATGTGAATGAAATGATGGAACATTATAAATATTTTGAGATTCTTTGGTAAACCACATTAATTCATTCCAACCACATTTCGCAGACATAGATAATATAACATTCAATTTGATATCACAACAACACCAAGTACTCACCGGATGTAACTTCGGTGTCTGCGCAGGATCAGTGGAGGGCAGAGTCCCGATCCTACACAGTAACTGCAGTAACAGCGCCAGGCAGTCCTGGCGCCACTCCGTGTCGTCATTCCTTTGTAACACTCCTACAAACCATAGAAACATATTGAATTAAGATGGATCTTGTTTCGTGTACCTACGTTATTATCAAATATAATACTGTTATTGGTATGACTATCCGGGTAATTCAAATACTTGCACAAAATATGAATCAGTCGGTCAAAGTAAATAGTTGTTTACTTGACTATGATTAAAAATTATGAATTTCATCATATCATTGACGTACAGTCATTTAAATGTGGTATGAAAGTGGCAAATAAATACAGAAAAGCGTCGATAAGAACGAGTAGAAGACAGTTGTAGTAAAAGTTTAACTCACCCGACATCATAATATCATATAGCAGTCTTAAACCTCCCTTTTTAATAAATAATTCGTTCCAATTCTCTACGGCAGCCTTTTCTTCCTCATTCTTATCATTTGTCACCAGCGGGCTAAGCGTGCTCACTGTATTCTCTTTGATATTTGTCGCACCACTGTTATTTGAGCTCAGCTTGTCAATAATGTGAAGGGAATACATGAGTTTCTGTGGGCTGGTGGGGTCAAGTAATTCTGGTAGCTTGCTCTCTGATGGGTTTTGAAAGGCTTCCAGTAATGTCGGGTTGTTTGGCACGGCTTGAAGGATGTCCCATACACGACGGGATAGTAGTTGTGCTTTTGTGTGCATCACCAGTTCCTGTTAGGGTAGAATAGAGAAAGTTAGTTATTTAGAATCTGATTCTCTATAACCTTTTACAGGATTCGTGGTGAAAACATAATATTAAATATATATATATATATAAATATTAAAGTTCTTTAAATCTTTATTGTTGATGAATAAAGTATAAATAGTCGGAATACGATAAAAAAAATCATGCAGTCGCGATAATGTTCCACAAGTTTCTTGTTACTATATTTTGTTCTTTCAATCACTTTTTTCCAATGCCACTTTTACTCTTCTAAAAGATACTGAATCTTCTAGTATAACTAAATTACAGTATCACAGTCCACGGAACAAATAATGAGTAATGAGTCACCCCGTTAGCGCCGGGTTCCTTCATCTGTCCCAGCGCCTGCATGAGCGTGAAGAGATGGTGGAAGTAGGTGGGGTCGAGCAGGAGACTGGTGGGCAGGCGCGCGCGGGCCGGCGCGGGCTGCGCCGACGGCCACTCCGCCCACGCGCCGCGCCCGCCCACGCCCACCGACACGAACACCAGCTGGGACAACGCAGCGAGCTTAGCTTCACACTTACTATATTCCAAAGTCATTTGCAGAGAAATTGGGTAGTTTCCAGGGTATCAAAATTAAAAATCTAATAAGTCCGTCAGTTAGATAATGAAAAAATATTAGACACGTATTTTTTTATTTTCTCCTATTAAGTTGCAATACTTAGATAAAATGGCGCTAAGTTTAAGAGTGGGAGGTTGTTACGTCATAACGTGCTACAAAATGTGACACGCTGTGACGTCATACGATATTTCAAATTAATATATTGTCAAAAGTATTTAATTTGGGAGAAAAGAAAAAATATGTGTCTAAAGTTTTAAATGCATGTACCAGACGGACATTAAAATAAAATTTAGTAAACTACCCTATTTAGATCAATTCAGTATTTATTTAATATTTGCTACTCAAGCAAATTTTTATGGGACAAACCAATCCCTGACTATTATAATTCGTGTAAGCCAGGCGGTTCATATTTCCGTGACTATTATGTATGACTTTTTTTATATAACAATAACTTAATTTGACTGTAATATAACACAAATAAAACGCGTCATTTGTTCATTCACCTGATTATCTTTAAATCCCATATCGTAAAGAGTTCTTTCATCGTAGTCAATAGTAAGTTCCTGTCCTTGTGTGATCATACGCAGCGGTCCGTCCGTCGATAGCGCAGTCACGCCTTCCTCGCCTTGAATCTGCCAAATTATGTTTGAATTCATAATTAGGAATTCGATTCTTGCTTCTTCGAATTTTTTTACATATTTACAAACCAAAAAATCGATTCGTTACATTATTATTCAAAATAAGATTTTTGAAACTCAAAATATAAATAATAAGCACGAAACTGTATAGATTACGTTTAAATGATAAAAAAAATTAAAACACAGAATTTGACGAAAATACATACGCCAAGAATTAACAGTAAATAATAAATAATCAAGTAAATAACCAATAATCTTAATTTTAATATCAACATCAAGAGGCCTATGAATTCGAAAACTCAAGAAATCACATTTCGTCCATCTACCGAGTCTTCAGTTAGGCGCTCTTATGGCGGCGTTAAGCTAACCATTCAAGTATAGAGCTCAATGTGGTAAAGTGTATTTGCGTGAAGGTGACCGTCAGTCGCCCGAGTACCGTGGCAGCCGCACCTGTTTCTCCCACCAGACGTGCACGTGCGCGCGCAGGTGCGCCACGAGGTCGGCGTGGTGCAGCACGAGCGCGGCGCGCGGGCCCGCGCCCGCCGGCTGCAGCGTCACGCGCACCGTGCTGCCCGCGCCGCCCACCGGGCCCTCCCACGCGCCCGACTCCGCCAGCGACCAGCGCCGCAGGTGGTACGCGTACCTGGGGACACGGCATTGTATTCCATATTACAGGCGACAGATTCTAATCGTACCCAACTATCTTAACTATAAAAAATGAGTCAACATGAAGTCTAAGTGACAACTGCACAACAAACCTCCTTTTGAAAGTATCAAGATGTGTCTTCAACAATAACAACGCTCTCTGAATGCATTGGAGCGCAGCTTCCTCAGTCATATGTTCATAAATATTCTGCTTATCAATCGTCTTCTCCTCTTTAACATCTTGTTCACATATCTGTGAAGTTGACGTTCCTTCTCCGTCCGCCTTCTGTTTCTTACTGATCAGTCGCTCAGCAGCAGAAGATAGATGGAACATGCATTTAGCTACAAAGTCGTCTTCTTGTTGTAGTTGCTGACCCATGTAGTAACTGTTTAGGTATTGTATTGCGCCCATTGATACATCTGGAACAGAATTTTTACATTGTACATTCGCGCTTTTATTAGTATAGGAAAAGGAAAACTGTCGGTATTATGAGTAAACATGGCCGTTTCACCTTTAAACCATATCTTAAATAAGAGTTACTTGGCACGAGGGAGGGAGCATCTAAACTAACCCCTTATCTTTACCTTTAGGTGTCACTTACAGGCTGGTGAAAACCAAAACATCGTTAAGTATCACCTATTTTACCGGGGTTCAAGGGAGTTTGATGAAAATGAGTATTAGACACATAACTATGTTTAAAACGTTACCAGTGCTATTGGCCCGTAGCGCAATCTTCCACAGATGGTCCATGGCGAGGGTGTGTGGATGGGCGGCGTCCCTCGAGTCCCCGGTGCCCAGCGCCATCCGCGCCAGGTTGCATAGTTGCTGGTACAGGCTTAGACCCATTATGCTGATCGTCTAGGGGAAATTAAGGAGCATAAGTTACATTCTGTATTTTCAACAACATCGATAGCTTGTGACAAGCTACTTGAGGAATTTGGCATAATCACCACACAACATTTTCTTTTTAAGAGAGGAAAAATCATTCAATGTATTCTTCCGCCTTGGGTGAGGCGAGAGGAGTGTCAGACTCTTACTGACTACAAATCACCCCGTTCTCACTTCTGCACTTCGAGCCGGAACCCCGGTAACCCGTTAAGCTTAAATAGGGACCATACTATACTGGAGCTTGTAGTTTAAAACGATCAGGATTATCAGAGATCGATACCTGGCGAGTATCAAATGTAGTCCCTTTTACAACACCCAGAAGGGAAAAGTAGAGATGGTAATATTGTATTTTTCTTTGCTGCTAGCACATTTATAGTATAACAGGAAGAAATTTTTCAAGAAAATAAAGACTAAATCCTGACACGTATGTTTTATTTGAAATATTTTGAAGCTTAAAAGTCAAAATGATTACCTCAGGATCCAAAGTAGGCATTTTCTCGACGTACAAAAATCTTAGTGCGTCGAGTCCGAGCGCGTGCTGGTCGGGCGACTTGGTGTGCGAGAGGAGCCAGGAGTACAGGCAGTCTGCGCACTCACTGCTGCCCCGTACTACCAAGCACTGCCATAGCTCCTCCACCTGCTCCACGGTTAGTCTGCGGGGAACAAGTTCGATGTATTACCTCTAAAATCTAGATTGAGCAGTGCAAACTACGGTACGTATGCCATGGCCAGCTGTCGTAGTTTTTGAAACCAGAGGGTGATTTTCAGACGGTCCGACCGTGGCGGTCAAAAGGCAAGTTACTTTTCTGGGTGTGTATAAAACAATGGTGAACTCTATTTAAATCAGCACAGAAATATTTTAAAGTAAGTAAGAGTTTTGCCTCTTACCTAAAATGTTGCGGAGATCCGACCGGAGAGAAGATGGCAGTGAGGAAGTGCAGGCGCACGGTGAGCTCGGTGATGTGCGCGTAGTGCTGCGCGTGCGCCGCGTGCGTGTGCGCCGAGAGCGCCGAGTGCGCCGAGTGCGCCGAGAGCGCCGAATGCGCCGAGAGCGCCGAGTGCGCCGCATGCGCGCTGTGCTCGGGCGCGCGCACCGTGCTCATGTAGTGGCGCAAGTCCTCCAGGAACAAGCGCATCATGCCACGCTCACGTTCCGCCCACATTACTACCTGTATTACATGAACTCAAATAAATATGGCATACTAGCTACTTCCGCGCGGTTTCACCCACTCTGTTCAGCTCCTATTGGTCGTAGCGTGATGTTTTATAGCCTATAGCCGTCCTCGATAAATGCCCCATCCAACAAAAAAATAAAATATTCAATTCGGACCATACTAAACGTTACAATAGTACTTCCGTATATTAGCACGTTTACACTCTTCAGCTTTATATAAAAATACAAAATTAGACTCTATTGCAACGTACAATATTTTGTGTGCTCTAATGGTTAATCTTAATAACTCATCAACCGGTAGATATAGCCACTTAAAGACATAATTTAGGTTGACTTTTGACAATTAATGTAGAGCTTGTCTGTAACTCGTAAAGATAATTAAAGAGAAAAATAAAATAAAATCTCATATCTTCTTGCAGAAACGTTTGCATTCTATTTGTTTATCTTCAAAAATGCTAACCATATTTTTAAATGGATTCTAATTTCTTTCCAACTTACTTGATGCATATCCATGCCTCGCAGCTGTTGGAACGACGAGAACAATTTCGGTAGCAACCGAAGAGACACAGCCACAGATCTACAACAAAACAGAACGCAATGATTTATTTACATCACTTTTACACTAACACTATTTGAAATAAATCTTGTTTCTTGAAAATAAGGTCAAATTTCATGTGACAGTAATATAATCCTGGGTTGTTATACTGCATAGTAGTACAATCTAAAAGAAACTTAACAATAAGGTTGAATTTCGTGTAACAATACAATTTATGTCAGGTATCATTTTACACTGAAGTATAATCTAGAAAAAACCTTATTCCTTATCACTAAGGTTGAATTTTGTGTAGTAAAATGAAGTGGGTTATTTATTTACCTGTGATTGGCAAGATTGTCCAGGCATCCCTCAATGAATTTGATCCTGATGAACTTGTCAGTACTGAAACAAAGGAGTGCACACAGTGCCTTCTCTGCTTCCAGTGCGAGGCCTTCGCCTAGTTGTTCCTGAGAAAAAAGTAAGATACATCGATATATTTATTGATTGGCTTCAATTTTCAATTATGAAAACCTATCAAATATTCTATTAAAAGCGAATTATGTTTAAAAATAATGCTACTTTTAAATTGCCAGAAAAACAAATCTCCACTTATAAGGCATGATTAACACCAACTAAGTTCAAATTCATAGTCTAAAAATATTGTGAGCTGTTATTAAAAATCCTATTCCCATTTACTTAATCAGCACTCTATCCATCCAATGGTTGCCAGGTATATACGATTTTGGCGACACAATCGTCGTAAAAGTTACTAGTGGTGGACAATAAAGCTCATAATTATTCTACTTTCAACTTTAAATAAATCAAAACTAGATCTTGTGAACCCTACAAAAATACGATAATAATAATAAAAAATAAAGACAGTATAGTCATCGTCGTCATATACAGTTGTCATACAACTCACAATGGCGCCGTCCTGCAAGAGATCCCATAGCAGCGTGTTCCCCGGGCGACACACGTCGTCCACGTCGCACGCCGCCGTCGCCGGGGAACCTCGCGCGCGCTTGGTCACCACTCCGCCGCCGTACTCCGTCAGGCACTGCGCCTGGACACCGAATAATGTTTAGTAGGCAATTGTCTCACCGGGAACGATGAACGAGCAACGAGTAGAGCTAGAATTGGGTACTTTTCTTAATCAAAAATAAATTATTTCGATTGTTCAACACAATAATATATTTAAAAATAATCGCACCTTCGTTATTTGATTTTATGACCAACTTAATTTTAGTATTAATCCAGCATTTTTTAGAAATAAGTATGCTGTTCGACGTTAAAAAACGTGACGTCACAATACACAATCTCGTACAAAATTCATAGAAAACTGTCGTTTTTGACAGTTCGAAAAAAGTATTGAATTTGACTAATTGGCAAGTACCTAATTGGAAACGTGTTGGCGACCCGCGGAGAGCGAGGGCGTATAGTTCCGATAGTTACTCTTGCGAGTGCTCGCCGGCAATGTGACCAGTCAGGAATCAACTATTCGTATATGCATCTCTTGTTTACACATTATCGTTATACGTGTCTTGAGCGAGAAAATGCTTAATTTACAGTTAACTATCGCAAGAATCTGCGTCCATCGATATCGATATGCAAATTACCTAATAATCAGTATATTTTAACAAGGTTTGAGTAGAAGTAACATATTCATCAGTTTAAAATGAACTTAATTATTATTCTTAATTCTCATGCACAACTAACATGCGAAATCTTAATTAGAACTGTGGATTGATCGATTTGTCTTTAAACAAAATAGTAGTCATTACAAATGATAAAATGTTACCTGTGCTGCCAGCCTCGCGAGTTCCTCCTCGCAGGCGGAGTCGTCCTCGTCCAAGTCCGCGAGGTGTGGGTGTGAGTGGGGGGACAGGGCGGAGGACGCACTGCCCTCCTCCTCCTCCCCGCCGCCGCGACGCTTGTAGCTCTCCATTAGGCGCAGCTCCATCAAACGTCTGAGATTAGATAATATTAGTTAATTAAGACTGCCTGATATTATGAATGGTCAATTGCTCATGCGAATGTCGATCGAAGGGTTTTAAGCTCGATTTCTATGTTGAATTGAGTAAATAAAAAATTGCGGTTTTCAAAAATTCTGAGTAGCAAGCACGGAGTTTAAAACGATATAAGTACAGCATATGACCATACGCTCAGCCCCTGGCCATGGGGACTCAAAACTGCTTAAAATCGGGTACCACGGTGAGCATCACATTTTACAACTCTGCCAAACCCTTTACTAACAATATCAGACGCATATTTATTAATCATCAGGATCCATTTTATTTCCCCCTAATCCCCATTATCATCATCAGCCCACTTCCATCCGTGCTGGACATAGACCGCTTCAAAAAAAACGCCACTGAGCTCGAACTTTTAACCCTTCGCATCTAATAACTACCAGCCACTTCGGCCCCAATGTCAAAACAACTCACCTAGCATCAACATTGTCACAGATCAACTGGCAGTGTGCAGTATCGCTGCCTGAGGACTCCTCCTCCACCTCAGACACGGACTCGGCCAAATCAGCAGTCTTCAATTGAGTCGCTGCTGAACAATAATGACACTTATAAACCTATCTCTTTTCATATTATCGGCTCGTTATCAACTGCATGTCTTTAATGCAAAAGCAACTCCATTTTGTGAGCAGTATGGTATATAATAGTTCTCTACAACAGTTAATGACACAGATAGTGGTATACTTAAAAATGACTTTATTTTTTTTAAATAAGATTGACTTCACAACAAACATGCAGTTTATTGCGACAGTACAATACCTACTACAAAACATAAATTATATAATATAAATAAATGAATAGTAAGACGGTGTATGGACCATGCACTCACGGAAATGCTTGGGTTTGCCTGGCTTGTGTCGTTTCTTGTAGAACTTCTTCTTGCGAGGCCGCAGCAACTCCTCCGCGCCACTGCTCGCACTCCCGCTGCTTCCCGCGCGCTTGCTACGTCTGTATTCAGGTAAAAAGGGTGTTAAAGGGTTATATAGAACACTATTTATAACACCTTTGGTAGTATAACGTGGTCGTAGGACAAAAGAATCCAGTGCAGTAAAATAAATATGTACATGATTTGACTTTAAATGTTATGCAAGATACATAAAAAATGTCTATGTCACCAAAAAAATGTCTTGATATTTTTTTATTATTTTTCAAAAGGTTATAATACATATCTATTATTAATCATCCTATGACTAATACTTACAAGTGGAGTGCTATAGAACAAACTGTATTAGTTAAAGAGTTGGTTAGTAAGAAAAACAAGCAGTTAGAAAGAACAACAATAGGGTAGACGACTAATTTTTATTTTAATGTCCGTCTGGTAGATTATTTAAAAACATTAGACCCGTATTTTTTATTTTCTTACGGAAACGAATAGTTTCGAAGATATATTGATTTGAAATGTCGCGTGACGTCACTTCTCAGTACATTTTATACTAAGAAATGACGTTTTAGCCCCCACTCCTAAACTTTGATTCGTTTTATCTAAGTATTGTTTTATTATACAACAAAATAAAAAAATACGTGTCTAATATTTTTTTATTACCTAAGTTACGGACTAATTATATTTTTAATTTTCATACCCTGTCATCATCCCCATTGTTAAATAAAATGTGTACTCACTTCTGGCAAGATTTAAGCGTCGGACACTCCTTCTTGGTCAGCTCCTCTCCCTCTCTAAGCCACTCTTGTTCAGCTGGAAGAAGAGAGTGAGAGTGTATACAGCAGATTGATTGAGTCACAGCATAATATTGTAGGTATATGTTTACCAGTCAGGTCACGTTGATGTTTACTTTGTTTGCGCGGCGTCGGTCCGGCCTCCTCGCCTGATGTGCTCAGCTCCTCGCACTGACGACAAATAAATATGGTAATAATAGGTTATTTTATAGTGCCTGCGTCACATATAAATCCTTTAATACTATCATGTCAACAATCCAATAACTACACTTTCTATATATATTTTTGGTATAGAAAGTGTACCTACATCTTCTATTGCATGGCATAAATCATAACATAACCAGTAGAAAGTGGGTGTTAAATTGTATTATTTACACACCCCTGCCTAGTACCTAGGTACTTATCAAGGCGTGACATTACAATAATGGAAATTAACTCATAAATAAGAAAAAAATAAATACATAAGGTTCAAATAATTACAGCTTTTAGGTTTAGTAGACTCACAGGGTCATCATCGGAGTTGGTCTGGTCCATGCTGACGCTGGCTTCGGACGAGGAGTTGTGGTGCGGCTTGCAGGACGGCTGCGGCGGCCGCAGCGGTGGCTCGTCTACCAACGTCGTAGGCGAGGAACCGCCTAACGTGCCCGACGCACCCCTCGACCACATCGCTCGCATCAACGCCGAAGCCAAATATAGACTCTGTATGAAAGAAATGTTGTATGATATGTTATGATTTATTATAATGTTTGTGTATGATGTCGTGCCCGGAGGTTAAAGACGTCTGCTTACACGCATGAGGGTGTGGGTTGTAAAGCTACCAACGACAAGTGCCAATGAGACATTTTCCGAGATCTATTTACTTTATAAGATTATTTAGACAGTACTGAAAACCGGTGAAGAAAAACAAAGTGATGCAAGCTGGGCTCAATTCCTAATTATAAGTTACGGTAGGCCCAGAGGGCAATGGCGTGATGAACTTGCCGCCTATGAAAAGGATTGGTCATAGAAAGCTTTAGAAAGAGACGAGTGGAAGAAGGGCAGGGGCCCTTTACCCTGCAGTGGAACAAGTATTTGGTAGCCACTTTTGATATTGATTATTGATGTTGTGTAGTTGATAACTTATGTAAAAATAATTATGTAGTTGTTAGAAATGCAAAGTAGTTTGTATAGCAACACTCTTCTATTCAGGCGCGAAGCATTCTGTTTTTAACTTCTAAAGTTCGAAGTGTTTTGTGAAGAGTTCCAATGGAGTCAGTAACATAAATAGATAAAAGTAGATGTACTATGTAGTTGATAGTCCGCAACCTCCTTTGTAGAATAGAAGGCATTTTGTAAAGAGCAGATGAGATAGTCGTCTTACATCTGAAGTATTTACTGATAATAAGTCAGGTTTCATTTAGCGCCGTCACGAAAGAAAACAAGTTACTAGTGCCTTCATACGCGCAATCCCGTTTTTTCGCGTACCCGTAGAATTTTCGAGAAACCCTTGGATAAAAAATATCCTATGTCCGTCTGATGATACTAAGGTACTTTCCCACCAATTTTCATGCAAATCGATTTAGCTCTTCTTGAGTTACAAATAGCAATATAATATAATAACTAACACAACTTTCTTTTATATAATTTAGATTTGTTAAAAACAAGGAATGGTTTCTAGTCCGTCAGAAATGCGCACAGCCAAGATACTATCTAGTTAACTATCAAATCATAAATGTTTCATTAAAATTAATAAAGACTTGACTATTAAAATTACTGAACCAGTTTAGCTCTTTGGTTGAGTGATCGCAAGCGTGACTGCCGAGCGAGTTGGCTTGAGTTTCAAAATTATTCATTATATGACAAACTTAAAAAGAACTAATGTTTAGCAATAGGTTCTAGTTTTCATAACAACAGGGCATACTTTTATGACAACTAACATATAAAGTGAAAACTAGTACTGTCGAACCCTCTGTAGAATACCAATCATAATGTTAGGTGCAAATCTAAACCCAAAACAGACAAGCTGAAATTTTTGCACTTTGGATATGCGCACAAGACCTGAATATTTGCACTAAATTGGGTAATTACTTCTTTATTGTGTTCTTTATTATCAGGACAAAATGTGCACAAAAGAAACATTGGACACAATCACTAAGAAAGTTAGAAAAAGATCATTAAAAGCAGGCTGATATCAACTAGTCGTAAGTTGAATTGAATATTGAATGAATAATTCTCACCTGTTCCGTGTGCTCTTTAGGTGGCAACGCACACAGGAGACTGTATAGATGTGCGCAAGGTTTCGGTGCCAATGCCCTGATGAACCCGGGGAGCAGGTCGTACACCTGTCGGCCGCAGTGCTTCAGCTGCGCCGCCGCCCACACTAGCTCCACATGCTCAGGGGTCACGCGACCTTCCACCGCCAGAAACTTCAGAATCATATGAGATTGCTTTATCACCTGTGGACAATTTGTTAATGTCAGTTTATGTCCTAAATATAAAGGTCACAAGTTCTAGAGTCACCATAGTGTTCTTAGAGTCAAAAGTGGAGGGCTGTTTCTAGTTTCCCTGCTAAAAATCCTTCCATCTAGGTGAAGTACAGATAAATTAAGAGAGTTATGGACTAACAAAAGTTTACTGTACTATATCTTTAGCAGAAACTCTTAACAGAAACAGCACACTCATATTTTTATACTGCAACTGAATCATATCACACACAAAGCTTCAAGAGCTGATCATCATTAACACTTACCTCCACATGTAAATTGGGTCCAAATAGATGTTCAATGATGTTATTATTGGTGAGCCACGTCGCAAGTTGCTGTCCAGCAACTTCAGCGTCTGTTGCCGACTCGCCGGCGCACAGCTCGTTGTGCGACGCGATGTGCGCGTTAATCTGCGCCACTCCCGCCAGGCGCATCGTCAGTGTACTACTGTTGAAGTACTTGAAGGCTAATGCCAGTCCATCACCATCAAATGTTAGAGGTACATCCAATGGCTCCTTTGCTGCTCCCCACATGAAATCTGATGAAATAAGGGACTATTATAGTGGAACTCAAAATGATATTGAATTAAATTTATAAGGAAAAATAATCAATCCAGTTGAAACTTACCAGCCATAGATTTCACTGCAGGTACTCTGAGATCTTTGTCTTCTAATGTGCACATGTACTTCAAAATCTTGCTTCTCAATGGCATGAACAGCTGTGACACCGCTCTGAAGTTTAACCACAGCTTGAGGTTGCCTACTGCTGCCACGATGGCATGTGCCATTGACAGTGGTAGACTACTCTGTGTGGCATTTTCAAAGACAGATGTCATAGCACAAACTCCACCCAACTTGCAGAACAAGCTTACATTACGAAGCAAGTAAGCTGGTATCTCAGTATCATGTAAGTCACAGTATAAACTAAGATTAGAGATTTCTTGAGCAGACAGGTCATCTAAGCGGCTCAGTGCTGAGTGCTTGCACGCTAAGTATAAAGGAAAGTTGAGCAGGAATACTTTAGAAACAATGTGCATGAGCTTTTCCTTTTGCTGCATAGACCATAATTCAGGGTCTTCAGTTGAAGTAGAAGATGTCTCAGCATTTTTGGAATCTTCTGCAGTCTCTGCTGCAGCGGCGGGTTCATTTGGTTCATCTGGAGATTCCTTTTCTTCACTGTTCTTTTCTTCTGCAGCTGATGTTGAGCTTTCTTCTTCAGGTTTTTGTTTGTCTTGTGCATTATCAGGAGGTTGCGGTAGGGTAGGTGCAGGAGCGGTTTTAGCTGCTTCAACTAGTTCGTCTTTAAGCTGCTTCAGTTGACAAACAGACAAGCACAGTATACTCTGCACTACAAGATAGAATCTTTCAAAATTCTTCACATCGCGATAGCAACACATACATTGCCTGAAACAAAGTTGAAAAGCACATAGAATGTCTTCTCAAAGTCCAAAATACAATGAGTGGCTACCACAATTGAAAGGTTACTTTGTGTAATCACAAAGCAATTACATTACATTGAACTGCACTACATATCAGTCACTCCAAATTATACACAATTGTACAATTACAATCAGAGGACAAGAGTATCAAAGGGCTAAACAAAGCACAGCAGTTACATTGATTGAATGTCACATTACAACAGCTGTACGAGTCTAATCTCTTTATATTTACGAAAATATTTGCTAGCTTACCTTTGTGGCCATGAAAGAATATAGTTCAGCACTGTCTCCAGCTCAGATTGGCTTATTGTTGGATACTGGGACACATCGTCGGTAAGCCTGGATTCACCTAAAACCACACTCGAACAATATATTATCACGTATCACCAGCACAAATTCCGTGAGATTTTAATCACCCACACTTAACAAAAACATATTTATATCAATTTCGATTCAAATAGTTAAATAGAACAAACAAATGGACTGCTAAATTTCGAAACAATGTAACTTACAATTTACTAAAAGCTGTGAAAACTCCGAACAAACATCACACATTCTTAATGCTTTATGTCAAGAATAAGCGAAATATTATTGCAATATAATCGCAAAAGTTATTTCAAGTGAATTATTGATCATTATTGATATTTTTCGTATCAGAAAACGAATACTGCCTTAAAATGTCACGGTATCCGTTCCACCATTGTTGACGATTGTTGTCAAAACTACGTTTTGTTGTCAACGCGTTAATAAATATTAATGATAATTTATTGTTAATTTATTCAAGTATAAGAGACCTAATTTTAAAATAATTCGTACCCAAACTTATAAAAATATGCAATTAACACATTTGCGAAGAACAAAGAAAAACGATAAAATAATTTGGAATCAGCTGCTAAATAATTCATATTATTTAAAATCGACTAAATCTCTAGTGTTTCCATGTGTTTCTTTTGACAATTCGACAGTCTTATTCGAACTGACATTTGTTTTGACATATTTCAGCAGTTGAAGAACGAGCTATGGGTTGATTGGTTGTTGTTGTTGATTTTATCTATAGAAATGGTCCAATTACTTTATATTATCGCCAGCTTACATGTTTTATTATGTCCATTTACAAAAGTAGAGGAAAGTTTTAATATCCAAGCCACACACGACATTTTATATCATCGACATAACCTCTCACAGGTGTCTAGAAATTCTAATTTTGGATTCATAAGTCGCTTCCTATAGACATACATTGATTACTATTTTCTTCCAGTACGATCATAATGAGTTCCCGGGAGTGGTGCCGCGCACTTTCATCGGTCCGCTAGTTATATCATTACTTTCGGCGCCAGTAGTGTCGTTCTTCCAATTTACCGGAATACACAAATTTTGGATGCAATATGTAGGTTAGTGAGAATAGTAAGATAAGACTCATTCTGCGCACATCTGTTTTGCCTAACAGCTTTTATGATTGAAATTTATTGCTTATAATTTCATTGAATCAGATTGAATGTATTATTGTATCATTCGAACATGTTTGTGTTGTTTGTTTGTAGTGCGTTTGATGCTGGCTGCGTCAGTGATAGGAGCATGGACTCGATTGAGGAATGCACTGCTGAAGCAGTTTGGGAGTACTTACGCATGGTGGTTCACACTGATCACAGTTACTCAATACCACTTCATGTTCTACATGAGCCGACCGTTACCTAATATTATGGTGCTACCCTTAGGTAAGTAATATAAAGACAAAATGCTAGTTTCACAAGTCTCCATAAAGAAATAGTTAAGTCGCTCTTCTAAGAACAAATTAAACAATGTTTAAGTATAAAATTGTTTGGTGCATCTGCATACCCAAAAGAAATAAATATAACATGTTTCAGTACTCCTAGCATTTGAAGGATGGGTGTCTGGCAAACATAAACAATTTATTGTGACTGCTGGAGCCTCCATTGTGATATTCAGAGCAGAGCTAGCCATGCTGTTTGGTCTGTTCCTTATCATAGACCTGCATTTCAAGAAGATTGATTTTACTACGTAAGTGAAGATTAAGAATATTTTGGTAACATATATTTCTTCCTTTTTCTGCATCCTTCAAGTAATTTGTTTGCAATTTAGGCATTGATATAAGTAAACAATACAACTTGACACCTGAAACAAGCCTAAATAAACAGTATGCAATATACATTATCAACTTACAGTATGCTGTTACAAAATAATTGAATTGACAGTTCAGATTTAATTTCACACATCAATCAATAATAAAATGTATTGTATTATAGATTGTTCAAGACTGTAGTGCCAGCAGGTGTGGGGCTAGTGGCTTTAACAGTGGCAGTGGACTCTATATTCTGGGGCCGATTGCTCTGGCCCGAAGCTGAAGTCTTCTGGTACAACACAATACTGAACAAAAGCTCAGAATGGGGTGTATCCTTTTCTCAAAGTGTCTTAACAATGACTTTCTTAATAATTTGACTGTATGGTTGGCACGGTGGCTGCCGCATAACATGATCCACAGATCGTTCATGGGTGTCATGTCTTTGAGAACTTGTATGTTTGTAAACGCACCCACGACACAGAAGAAAATGGTAGTGTTGGGCTAAGTTAAAAAAAATATAGTTAGGTACTTAAATATGTTTCTTTCTCATTGAGAATAAAACAGAACGTGATATTAAAATGCTAAATTAGTAACAGGATTTTGATAGATATCTTATTACTTATAAGATTAGATTGCTGTGATACTATGTGCGAGTATGATTTGTTATTGTTTTGTAGTACTTGGTATTTGTAACAGGAAACTATCTGTAAAAGGATTGTCGTTAGAGTAAAGAAAGGACTTGTGTTTAATTTTCTATGGTAAAGAATCATTCAACTTCAACCGCCGAAAGATGTCCACTGGTGGACAAAAACCTCCCTCTTAATTGTCCATAGGCTTTAAAATTGTTTTAATACGAAAAAAAGCTATTATTCTAAACACCCTTAACTCACAATACAGACATCACCATTCCTCTGGTACTTCTATTCAGCTTTACCACGAGGTTTAGGTCCCAGTTTAGTCCTGATCCCAGTGGGGCTATATCTGGATCGCAGGCTGATCCAGTATGCTGCACCAGCATTTGTGTACATAATCCTTTACTCCTTCCTGCCACATAAGGAACTGCGGTTCATCATCTACGTCTTCCCTTTGCTCAATATGGCGTCTGCGGCCGCCTGTTCTTATGTGTAAGTACTTATTAATTTTTGTTTATTAATATGGTATCAATGTTTTAGTGGTATGAACTAAAGGAGTGTGTTTGGTTATTGTTTGTTCAGTTGGTGTCTTTTGTTGAAACTGATTAAAGTAAGAAAAATATGAGATGTTATTGTATGAAACATTTATTTACATTAACTTATGTGAAATACTTACAAATTCAAGTTCAAATATCTTTATTGCTGAACACAGTACATTTAGATGCATTGCAAGTTCATTACTTACAAGTTCATTTATATCCATTTATCTCTAATATTCAACCACTGTAGTACAAATGTAGTGTAGTACCAATATTTATTAGAATTAGTTTTGAGTTTAGGCATTAAAACCTCCTCGAATGGTTCCCAAAAAGCTTCATCCAATGGCTATCTGTGAACTTTATTACAATTGATATAAATTCTATTTTTCTTTCAGGTATGTAAGAAGAACAAAAGCACCGATATATGAGTTGATGTTCTGGGGCTCAGTGTTTGTGATACTTGGCAACATTATCATATCATTAGCTTTCATTCTGGTCGCCATGACTAATTACCCGGGTGGAGTTGCTATTACTAGGTCTGTATTATACTTTTACTAGCTATTCTTGATTTTTTGCTGTTGCAAATAAATTACAGTTGATATAAATGAATTGTACTGCTGTCGTAATATTTTGTGAGGTTTTCAACGTTTTGTTGTTCATGTATTTTGGATGGTAATAAGTCTAACAATATATCAATAATGATGATACTAAATATCAGACTGACCATTCTCAAATAATAACTTCTACAGGCACAGACAAGAGTCCAATGCTATTTTTGTTGTTTCAGATTCCACAAAATAATGAAGAATGAACCATTCGTCCATGTTCACATCTGTAACTTAGCTGCTCAAACGGGTGTGACGAGATTCACGCAAATTAACGATAGTTGGAGATATAATAAGACCGAATCGTTAGCTCTAGGACAATTACAAGATTATACTCATCTTCTTGTTGAAGCAAAAAGCAAGTACTCACCTAATCTTAAATACTTTGCCCAGACACATGTAATATTAGATAGTGTAGAATCGTTCTCCCAAGTGGCTATGAATTACAAACTAATGCCTCCCGTAAGAATTAAAACAAAACCGGCCATTTTCATATTAGAGCGTAAAGATTTTCGTGAGTTTCCTTATGGACACAAACTTGCGGCTGTATCTGATCTCGATGCTCGCATACAAATAGATGAAGCTGTGTCGGATACTGAAACAGTTATCGATGTTGTTAACTATGATGATATCAAAGAATTAGGACCTACGAAATCGGAACCTGAATTAGATGTTGAAGTACAAACTGTCGAAGTTAACATACCATCTGAAAATGAAAGTACAGTAGAGGTTACTAAATCAACAGTCGACGAAGCAACACAAAAGCCTAGCGATGAAGTCATTGAAGAAATAGAGGAAAAGATACAGGAAGAGGTCAAAGTAGATAATAAACCTAAATTACCAAAAGCAAAAAAAGCTTTTGAGGAGTTGAAGATACTGAGACAAGAAAGGAAGAAGAAAGCTATAGAGAAAATTAAAACAGAAACACGTAAAGAAGTTGTAGAATCAGCTAAAGAGAAACTGAAGGAAATTATGAAACGCCACAAACATATCGCTGATGAGCTTTCAGAGAATATCATATCTGATATAACTTCTGAAATAGAGGAGAAGGATGGCAGAGGAGACATACCTGAAACCGAATTTATTCCCGAAGAACCAAAATCAGATCTCGTAGATAAAGAAGAAGATAAAGGAGAAACCAAAGTACAGGGTGATGCAGAAATAAAAGAAGAATTAATAGACAAAGCTGATATTACAAATAAAACAAATGAAAATATAGATACAATCGTGGAAGAGGTTATACTCAGATTGATTGATAGAAAAATTTACGACGACAAGACGAAACCGGAAGATATAAAGCCTGAAGACAGGCTCATGATACAGAAAATTGTTGAAGAAGTCATATCAGAGAAACTGAATTATTCAAGTATTGATAGTAATAATAAATGAGTGTGTGCAAATGTATTTGAAAACATTGGCCCTGTTTTGTTTGAATTTGATCTCGACATAATTCTAAAGACGCGTATTTTACGTACCTATCCTGAATCTACACACTTAAAGGTACAGTTGCAAAGGAAATTTACCTTTGAGATTCAAAGAAAATCAAAGCTGAAATCAATTGTATCATAAAAGATAATTTTAAAGCGTCGTTTGTAATACGGAGCAAATTATCCCTCTATCTGTGTATTAGGAACTTGCAAAAGTAGTAGGAGGGTACGCAGGCTTGAGATTGAGATTTAACGCAAATCTGGATAAGATTTTAAGCAAATATTTTATAGTTACCTACTTATAGTGCCAATTACCAAATCGTGCCTTTAAATGATACTTAAGTTGTATTCGTACATGGATGATACGTACTGTGGAATCTAAAATGTAAAGTATTTTCGTCAGTTGAAATGTTTTCATGCAATTATTTCTATACCTTCTATTTTAAAGGCCGACGACGCTCATTCTGTCTCCTCTGGTGTAGCAGGTATACATGTGTGGTTCTGATCACTTACCAAAAAATTTGATGTATAAGGCTAAGGACTCACGACGCGATTTTCTCCCGCGCCTGACGCGGTTGCGGACCCGCGGCCTTTGTAGAATACAGATATGTATGTAAAAATCAAAGCAATTTTCACAGCGCGTTTTACGCGGCGGTTGTGATTGTTTACAGCCCGCAACCGCGGCGGCTAACACTCACGCGCTCTGCGGTCGCTCGGCGAGCGATCTCAAAGTGACGGCTGATTTAGAACTCAACTGATTGTTTAATCGCCCGCCGGTCTTGCGATAATTAACCGCTAAGTTCTCGGGCAATAATAGCAACCGTGGCGGCTGCAGAATCGCATAAAACTGCGGTCTTGTGAGTTTTGGAAATTCCGCCTCCATTCTGCCACCGCGGCGGGCGCTCGAGAAGATCGCGCCGTGCCGTGAGTCCTTATAAGCCCTCTAAAAGCCTGCTCTTTTTAATGGGCGTACGGTCCGTGTGCCACAGACTACAAGCACAACCTCTTATATTATTGATAAAAATAAATGGGTGATGACTTGCATTTTGTTTCGGCTTTTGTTATGTTTCGCATTTCTTTTGTATTATGATTTCACTGTTGTCCCATTTTTTTCTAGTCACGTAAGTGTTTTTGTTTTATAAAATAAAATTTATGATGTATACTTTATTGTAATTTTATTTTGCGTTTGATGTCTCCTCATACCACTCATAAATCTTTTGTTAGGGCGGTGCTCGAATACTTTTGAGAGTAACTCGAACACTTTCGAGAGTTACTCGAAATCTATCGAGCGTCCTCGATCAGTTTCGAGGATTACTCGAAAACTATCGAAAGTCCTCGCTCACTTTCGAGATTTACTCGAAAACTATCGAGTGTCCTCGATCACTTTCGAGGATTACTCGAAAACTGACGAGCGTCCTCGATCACTTTCGAGGGTTACTCGAAAACTATCGAGAGTCTTCGATCACTTACGAGAGCATCTAGAAATCTGTTTAACGTCCTCGAAAACCATCGAGCGACTTGGATAATTTTCGAGGGGCATCTATTGAGCGTACTAGATTATTGCTCGAACACTTTCTAGAAATACTCGAAAACGACGACGCTGCTTCAATGACTTTTTACTCACCCAACAAAAAGGGGGTGGTATAATCGAAATGTGCAATGGACGCTCGAATAGCTAGCGGCGGACCTGCACGCCTGCATGTGTCGCTTAAGCTTATCCTTAAATTAAGAGTTGTCCGCCATGCTTTCGCTTTCCCTCTTGAAGTTCTAAATAAAGAACGCGTTTCGTCACTCTCTGCTCTGTGATGTAAATAGTAATGTAGAGGTAGTGAGTGTAACCTTATGGTTACTTATGAAAGAGGTCACAAATGCGCCATTCGTTTGGGCCAAAAACATAGCCCGGGCCAGGGTACTTACTATTGAAACCAATCTCAATATCAATGTAATTGCAATCCAATGAAAACTCAATAATTATTTAATGTCTAAACCATAAAACCCCTATCGTAGCTGTTAAAATAGCATTCAAAGTATAGAAGTAGAATATAAAACCAAACAAAACATACCATGTACTTCATTCGATATCCACGGAATACGGATGCAATGGGCGCTTGTGTTTACAACTCAAGAGTACGAAATTTCACAATATCAATGTCGATCGATCGTAATTGGAATCAAGAGTAAGCCCCCTGGCCTGCACAATATTACCATTACTGACGTGAATATACTGAAATAACCTCTACTATTTTCGAGCCAAAGAGGAGCTTTTCTTCACAGCGACGAGCGAGCTTTCCTCAGAATATTCAAGTGAGAAACCTGCGAAATGTAGTTAATTTAGAATGTCTCACTATAGTTATTATAAAAACAGGTCGATAATCATGTGGGATTCAAATTATTATTTTTTTAAGTGTGGGAGAGCCATGCTTCGGCACGAATGGGCCGGCTCGACCGGAGTGATACCACGGCCTCACAGAAAACCGACGTGAAGCAACGCTTGCGTTGTGTTTCGTCGTGTGAGTGAGGTTACCGGAGGCCCAATTACCTTCCCCTTCCCCAATCTCCCCAATCCCTGAATCCCCAACGATCCTCAAACTCCTAATCCCCAAAAAGCCGGTGACGCACTTGTAACGCCTCTGGTGTTCCAGGTGTCCATGGGCGACGCCGATTGCTTACCATCAGGTGATCCGTCTGCTCGTTTACCGGCTTATGCCATAAAAAAAAA